CGAATGTGCATGTGCAGCTTTATCTGACTCTTCCGATTCTCAGCTCATCCGTCTTGTCGCAATGGTTTCCACAAAGGAAATGCCCACAACATGATTTTGGGCACAGAATCTTACCCACTTGAATTACAACAGTACGGAGGAAGATCTGTAGTAACTCGTAAGTATTCCATCTTATCGTCACTGCAGTTGCAGTAAGTTCCTGCAGCCTCAAAAACTCAGTGACATCCTTATCGAACACCTATGGCGCTCCATATACCCCTAGAAAGATCCTGTACAGCGCAGTCAACTGTAACTAGTTGAACCCGCCACTTGGATTGAACATGGGTCGCGACATCCACATCCGAGGCTTCTGCCAAAAGCGATTCTGCATGTAGTAGTCCTTGCTTTGGTGAAGGGGGTGCAAGGCTCCTCATTATGACTTGCAGGCTTTAGAGTTAACGGTTTCATGTAAGGCCTTGATAGGAAAAGCCTTTGCGTATGTTATACTATAATCTTGAAAGGCAGGAACTCGAAGGAATGAGACCTGTACTATTGACATCCAGTCCAAGCCATAGGCCACTGGTGTTTAGTTTAAGAAGGCTAAACAGACCAAGCACAACCCTAGGATCCGCCTCGTGGGAAGCTAGGAGGATGCCTTTTCGGGCGCTGGGCATTCCCGAACTCCTGTATTCTACGTGCAAAGATGGGTTTACGTGGCACCGGCAGGGGTCATATGAACCGATTAGTCGCGAAACCACAGATATTTAATATTTATAACTTGTTTACGGTCTGTGTCAGAGTTAACGTTTTAGAAAGCCGCAGAAAGTTTGCTGCCCAGCATCCGTGTAATAGTAGCCCGACACCTTGGGAGCCATGTGTTTCGGGCTGAGGAATCTTGTTTGGGTTTTAGGGTTCAAGGTTTTGGAATCTTGCTTGTGTTCTTGTCTATCTTTGGGATGTTTTGGGCCTTCTTGGATTGGGCTCTCGGGGGTTAAGGAATGCGGTTTCATGGTCTCTTGCTGCTTGCCCCGAGGCAAGTTTCTGTTGCTTGAACAATGTATACCCCTTTTCTTGCACAAATGGCCCAGTAACCTACTTGATGGGATACCGGGCTTCGCCTAAGAGTACAAGGCTTTGAGGGTTTAGGGTTTAGGGGTTTTCTTGCCTCCCACCTATCTAGGACGAGCCCGGTTGAGGGTTTTTTTTCCCAGTTGAGGGGTTTAGGGTTTAGGGTTGGGGAGGTTTTCAAGCGATCCTACACATGCAAGCAGCCGCCATGGTATCCACACGCGACCAGAGCCCCTAAGAAGGAGGGCTCTGCATTACAGTGCATGCTGGGAAGTTCAGAAAAAGCTGGCTGGCCCCGACTCCTGAACAACCTCAGCCCAAAACCCCTGAACCCAGAACCCCTTAACCCGAAGCCCAAACACCTAAAAGGACTCTAGACCTAAATGCTTTCACCCCCGGAGCCCAAGTAAAGTATGAACTCGAAGCTCCGATTCTGCTCCGGTTCGGGTTTCGGCCCTTCGGCTCCTCGCTTAAATAAGGCTTCGTGGTTTGGGGAGATATATAGCCTTTGTAGATGCGTGGGCTGGAGACCCCCGCATTACACTTCGAACGGTGCTCTAAATAGCCCTGGTGTTGATTGCGGTCGGTTGCAGTTTGCGGTGTGGGAGTTTAGGGTTGATCCGTAGTACTTCAACTCCTTTAAGCCAAAACCTCTGCGAGGACATCCAACAGCCTTTATGCCAACAGCCGAAACACTCAAACACTCCAACCCACCTCTGCGCCCGACAGCACTATTGTCTCAAACAGCTCAACTAACCCTAAACGGTGAGCCCTCTCCTGCACTGTTTGCCCAAACCCTCAGCCTTGACGAACCCTGAACCCTGAACTAGCCCGAGAAACCCGGTTTCAAACAAACGAGCGGGCTAGGCTTTGAGGCTTTGAGGTGTCGGAATCAGCGTCCTTTCAACCCTGTATAACACTCATATTTGACTGTAGGCTGTTTTGCTGATTTCTTGCCAATTTAATGGTATCCCTTCCTTGTTCACGAAATGAACGAGATATAATGCACCCCCCCAAAACCTTGTTCTAATGGTTACGGCCCTGCACAACAACGGAATCATTTTGGGCCGCTGACGCGAATGTTGTTCTCACGGTTCCAATAGGACCGCTGTGCTTTATATGCGACGCCGTAGCCTTGGGTGGTTTGGCGTTGAAGGTTCGCGGCTTAAGGGCTTGAGGGCTCCATGTTCCGAGTTTACGGCTTATAGGTTTAGTTTTAGGCCTTGGCTTCCTTGGTTCTTCGCCCAGGCGAGGAAGTCAAAGCTTCAAACTTCGCGGCCATAAGTAGGGATTTGATTCTGGAACAGTGTTCAACTCGGGTTCAGCGCTTCAAGCTCACCTTTTTCTAGCTTACTTGCGCCTATATCAAACGAAGGTTGCGCTGCCTCGATTTTTGCATAAGAGCCGAGAAATCTAACGGTATTGATCGGAGGCGAGCCCCTTGATGTAGACCCCTAAAGAATCAAATCTTTAAGCATCTACACCCGTCTAATCACGAAGGTTTGTATATTTGTATTTCCCACCCTGCTTGAGAGCTCCAACGTCTGGCCCTAAACCCTAAACCCCTTTTGCAGCGGGCTTGCCTGGTCGCCCGGGAGCCTCTTTGCCCAGAACGTATGCCCAAGCACTGGAAAGCACGCGCATTGACAAAGGCTTGCATCGCAAATCACACGACCGATTCTTCGTGAGGAGATCCGGGCCGATGGGGGCATGCCTACCTAGGGAAACCCTACACCCATAAACCCTTAACACTAATAGGCCTTTACTCTCAGGATCTGGTCTTTGGGGCCTAGCTTGCCTGTCGGGCCGTGTGTGAACCCTAAACTGTAGGCCGCCTTGGCCTCAGGGTAACATTGGGGCCTAAAAGAGATGTGTTAATCTTTTACCCTGATCATCATAGGCGCCCGAAAAAAATCACCACTGGCTCTTCAGGCTCCTATACTTGGCCTGCCCACTCCATTCTTCGTGCGTCGTCCTTGCGGAGAAGGAGCTGAGACCTGCCTGAAGATGGTTGTTGTTCCAGGACCTGCAAGAGAGGCTTCACGGTTGGTAAGAGCATCTTACAGTTAATGAGGGTCCCTCTTCGATTATCGCCCGAAATCCTACACCGTATAGCTATAATTCGAAGAGCGTTTCCGTGGCATTGCATGAGGGGTTGTTTCAGGCTCGTTGATACGTTCCTGTTTTGCGGCGATCCCAAGTAGGGTTTAGGGCGAGCATTTCTTGTTCTGGCCGGGTTCAGAATGTAACGTGTTCACTGTTCAGGATGTTGGAAGAACAAAGAAGCACCCCCACCAACAAATTACAACTCGCTAGTTAAAGCCATGTCTAGAAGTATCCAACAGCCTCAGGGGCGCCTGCCAGACCTCGTGAAAAGGATTCAAGGTGCAAGGGCAGATTCCGACTTCCAGGAGGCGAAGGAGCTTCTTAGGTCGTGGTTTAGGACGAGTTTTCAGGAATCGGAGATTGGTCTCGGGGTTTGGGGTTTAGGGTTTCGGGGTTTGGGACAAGGGTTGCAGGTTTCTAGGTTGATGTTCCGGGGTTGACCTGCTCAGTTCTAGGCCGCTCACGGCTTTTCCAGAGAGATTCCTAAGCCCTATGCCCTATACCCCGAAGCCCTAGACCCCCAAACCCTAAGCCCAAAGCCCGATACCCTAAACCGTAAGATCTTCGGGTTTCGGCGGGAACCGCGCCAAGGCACACAGTCAGCTCTGTACCACCGAGGTCGTATTTCCAGCTGTTCCCCTGGATTAAGGATTTTTGGGGTTTTTATGTGCTCGGGGTAAAGTCTGAAGGTTTGGGGCCAGGTCTATTTTGAGATTGTTTAACGATTTTGGTGGCTTGCACTCTGTGTTATGGGCCGTCAGGGTCTGAGGGTCCCGGGCTTACAGTGGTTTGAGGGTCCAGGGTTGACAGAGTTTAAGGGCATTTGGTGTTTTGGTTTGAGGGGTTGGCATCCTTAAGGGAGGGGGTTCTAAGGGGGGTATATAACCCAGTAATCCCCAATTCTCCATAGTACTCCCTTAGGTTCCCTGAAGCTCCCTAGGACCCTCCCCCCTTGAGCCACCCTCCCTTAAGGCTCCTATAGCTGTTGCAAGTTTACAGGGCCTGCAGGCGGCAGGAACGGAGATCATCACGATAGATGCTAGGGTTTAGGGTTTTAGGGCTTAGGGTTTAGGGGCTTGTAATTGAACTAGCAAAGTAACTTAGATTGATGAATCGAGCAGTACAGTGCGACCGAGCTGGCCGGAGGGAAACCATCGCCGAGACCGAGCCCAAACCCGAAAAAGGTTTCTAACCTCTGTGGGCGACTGTGGTTTCGATTTCAGGTACTACTGCTTCAACCTCGTACAAGCCCCAAAATACTCCAGAAACACACTGCCCCGAAGTAACACCTGTAACAACAACTCCAGCCTGAAACCCCCAAAACCTGACACTTCCCAACACCTAAAGAAGCCCTTAATTTTATATCTTCGTGCGGCAATTCAGACCGGGGCACGCTTCCACTCCAGCTGTTCTGAAGTGGCTGGTCATTCCTTGCCGCACGGAACCCAGAAAGACACTAATTATCCCTGGGTGCGGGAGATCTTTTCATAGTCGTCTCAATGAGTTCTCAGTGTCTTTACCGGTTTTTTGGGCCGAGTCCTTCCTGGATTCTCTCTAAGTCTTGTGGGATGGTTTTTAGCGTCTCTTGTATTCTCTAATCTCATTGAACCTAGCATCGCGACATGCAAGCCTGAGGCCTCACCACGGGAGCAGCACAATGCACTTACTGGGGGCCCGATGGCTCACCGCGGCCTCTGTCTGAAGAACAAGCTCAGAAGCGCCCATCATGGACTCGACTTTCAACTGAGCTGCACCTACTACATTATAACTGCAAGACGCTTACTTCAATCCAAGTGAGCTATAGTTGGTCAGACCTAAGATTAAAACCCTCTCTGCTGACATGCGTCCACTTCACAATCCATGGAGGGTTGTTGTTCGCACCTGAGCGCCATCGATTGCAAGGAGTCGCCGTAAGTTTAGAGCATACTTCGGTGTAGAGCTGTGGAATCAAGCTTCTTGCTCAAAGGCACCCTCAACCCGGAAACCACGGCTTGAATCCGTTGGGAAGCTCCCACGAAACCACCTAAACAGAAACCCAGAGTCATTATTGAAACTACCTTCGACACTTTATGAGCCCGCGAAGAGATATGGTCTGACATGCCGTCGAGAGCCCGGCTGGCTAGGCTTGGCATGCTGTAAAATTGGAGGTTCAGGGGCTTTGAGGTTAGGGATTTTTTGCCTCCCACCTAGCCAGGACGAGCCCGCATTGCAGCATACTCGGAAAGATAAGCTGCAAGTCAGTGAAGGATCAACCTACATCCGAACGTCCCAACCATCTCCCGATGGACGCCCAGGAGGTACAGTTTTAGGGCGTTTAGGGCTCAGGGTTAGGCTCATTGGCACTAGTTACCACTGAGCCGGACGACAGGGCTCTTGCATCACTCGAAACGTTTCAGGATCTTGCAGGAAGCTGGTTCAGCTTGTCGTTCTTCTGCGGGGTATTACTAAGAACCAGAGGTTTCAGCTTCGGAGCCATAAGCGACGAGCGACTTCTGAGGAAGACCCAGGCCGTTTTAGCTCGAGATCTGGTATCAAACCCTCACCCTCAAACATCTAAGCCCAAGATTTTAGGGGCGTGATTCCTTAGTCTTAGAAGGCATTATGTTGGTGCATGCCACATACACACACACACACGAATGCGTATATATATATATATCTATCTATTGTTTATTTGCTTATATTTGCAAACATATACACACATACACACATGCATGCATGCGTGCATGCATGCATGCATGCATGCATGCATGCATGCATGCATGCATGCATGTGTGTATGTGTATATATATATATAGAGAGAGAGAGAGATATTCATATACAGATGT